AACTAGAGATCAAATTGCCAACATTCGCTGGATTATGGAGAAAGCAAGAGAGTACCAGAAAAATATCTACTTCTGCTTCATTGACTATGCTAAAGCTTTTGACTGTGTGGATCACAACAAACTATGGCAGGGCCTTAAAGAGATGGGAGTACCAGACCACCTCACATGTCTCTTGAGAAACCTGTATAAGGGCCAAGAAGCGACAGTTAGAACCGGATATGGAACAACTGATTGGTTCAGCATAGGAAAAGGAGTACGACAAGGATGTATATTGTCACCTTGCTTATTTAATATATATGCAGAGTACATCATGCGAAATGCTGGCCTGGATGAATCACAAGCGGGAATTAAGATTGCTGGGGAAAAGATCAACAACCTCAGATATGCAGACGATACCACTCTGATGGCAGAAAGTGAAGAGGACCTCAAGAGCCTCTTGCTCAGGGTAAAAGAGGAGAGCGCAAAAGTGGGCTTGAAGCTCAACATCAAAAAAACTAAGATCATGGCATCCGGCCCCATCACTCCTTGGCAAATAGAAGGGGAAGCTGTGGAAGTAGTGACAGACTTCACGTTCCTGGGATCCCAGATCACCGCAGACTGTGACTGCAGCCATGAAATTAAAAGACGCCTGCTCCTTGGGAGGAAAGCGATGGCGAACCTAAACAGCATGATAAAAAGTAGAGACATCACCCTGCCAACAAAAGTCTGCATGGTCAAAGCAATGGTATTCCCAGTAGTCATGTATGGCTGCGAGAGTTGGACTATAAGGAACGCCGAGCACCGAAGAATAGATTCTTTTGAACTATGGTGCTGCAGAAGACTCTTGAGAGTCCCTTGGACTGCAAGAAGATCAAATCAGTCAATCCTAAAAGAAATCAACCCTGACTGTTCCCTGGAAGGCCAGATAATAAAACTGAAGCTCAAATACTTTGGCCACCAAATGAGAAGGGAGCACTCACTGGAGAAGACCCTGATGCTGGGAAAGATTGAAGGTCAAAGAAGACGGGGACAGCAAAGGATGAGATGGTTAGACAGTGTCATAGATGCAACGAACATGAAGTTGAGCCAACTTCAGAGGACAGCGGAAGACCGGAAGGCCTGGCGTGATCTGGTCCACGGGGTCGCGAAGAGTCAGACTCGACTGTGCGACTGAACAACAACAACAACAAAAAGGAAACATAGAGCACTGGTTCATTATGCCACAGAGAAACCTAGAGGAATTCATCAAAAAAGTAAAGATGCTTGGATTTCCTCTCCAAGCATCTATTATAACACAAGATGCGTTTGTTGTATTTTTTTTAAAAAATGTTTTGCATTCTTGTTGCTGCAGGGCCAGATCAAAGGATTTTGTTGATGGAGAGAAGGACGAATTTCATGGATGAGCAATTTAATGCCTTTGCATTGCATTCCTAAGCAGAGTTACACACTTCTGCATCCATGGACTTCAGTGGGCTTAAAATGGTGTAACTCTGTTTAGGATGGCAATGTAAAGGAGTCTGAAGTAATAGGTGGTATGGATTGACAGCCAAGGCTGTGGGCTGAGGAAAGGCAATCTTTTTTTTTTTTTGGCCAAAGTGCCAAAAAAGCAAATTCTACCTGTGATAATGTTAGTGTAGCAGCAAACAACATTGGGGGGGGGGGAGAAGAAGGTTGTATTTGGAGACACTGCTAAGGGCAAGCTGAGCCCCAGTGGCCCTACGTGAGCATCTCAGTGACTTGCCTTGGACTTGGTTGGTAGCCATGCAGGTTGGGGACATGATGATGGACCTAAGCACAGGTCCTTTATGCCACAGGTCCCAGTGGCGCTGTCAGTGCCTCAGGTGCTTGGGCCTGGGTTTCAAGCAGAATGGTCTGTTGTGCTGCTGTTGGCATGCATGCTGGGGGGAGCTGCTGACCCCCAGTGTGGACCATTGCTTGGAAGAGTCTGGCCTACCACCTTCCATGCTTGACTTGCCTATTGTGGCTTAATGTATCTAGCAAGTGGAATTTACCTGCCATGATCTTGGGTATGGGAAGGTCCTCCTTAACAAACTCACCCCGGACAAAAACAATGTCAACTGCACTTGGCTGGTTGCAAGTATTCCCTTATTGAGCAAGGTGGATTAAACCAAGGTTCAAGCCCAGTAGCACCTTAATGACCAACAAAATTTCTGGGGAATAAGCTTTTGGGAGTCAAAGCTCCCTTTGTCAGATACAAGTAGGAATGGAGATCCCTGAGCCCTCATATCCCAGGCAGAAGATGGAAGAGGTGTTGCGAAGAAGGGAGCTAGGATGCAAAGGTGCAGTGCAAACTTTAATCAATGGGGAGAAATGCGTAGGGCCAACAAATGAGCATCTGTAGTGGGGTATGAATACTGTGTCCCTCTTCAGCCCTGGGGAGTCCATTATTCTGAATTTGTGAATGAGCTCAAGTTCAGGCAGTCTCTGTTGTAGTCTTCCCTTCAGGATTCTCTGTTTGGGAACTGCCAGTCTTAGGTCAGCAACAGAATGTCCTGGAAGGTTAAAACGTTCTCTTGCTGGTTTTAAAAAAAGTGTTGTGTAGGGACTGACCCATTTCTTCAATGTAGAGAGTGGAAGGGGATTGCTGACACTTGAAGGCGTATATAACATACATACACACATACACACACACACTGTAAGATGAACACGTGAATGAACCTGAGATGGTATCATTGGTGTTTGTAGAGACAGTGATTTTGTTGTTAGGGTGAATATGGAGGACAGAATTGGCATCTTGTTTTACTACAAGCACTATTCCCAGAGTCCGTGTCTGTGTTAGGAAGGAGATTGTTATGAATTGGAAGTTGCTAAGGTTATGGGGCGGTCTGTGGGCAAGATAAGGTTTGCCTCCCAAAGGCTATGATGGAGGAGTATCATTCTCCAGCATAGCTCGTAGGTCAATGATGCGTTGAACTGGCTTGAGCTGAGACATGGATGTGGTGGTGTTCTGTTTGAGTCCATCTTGTAGCAGGTTATCCCTTGGTGCCATTCTGGCCTTGTTGATCTATTGCTTTGCTACATCAGGTGGGTATTGTAATTCCAAAAATGTCTGTTGTAAATCCTGCAGGTGAGGATCTTTGTTAGAGGGGTCCAAACAGATGCAGCTGTAACATAGAGGTTGGCTGTAGTAAGCAATGGATTGTTTTGTGTGTTCAGGGTGGTGACTGGAGGTGTGTAGGTATGTTTGGCAATCAATGGCTTACTGCTACAAGTTGATTTTTATGCTTCCATCACATATTTGTGTATAGTGGTGTTTAGAAAATGTACTGCTTGTGATTTATTCATGGTCAGGTTGATGAGAGAAGAGACTGGATTTATACCTTGCCCTTTACTACCCAAAGGAGTCTCAGAGCAGCTTACAATCCCTTTCTCTCCCCCTCCCAACAGACACCCTGTGAGCAATGCTCCCTCTAAGCTCTGGAGTCTTGTGAGCAAAAATTCTACTTTGTGAGCTACTGGCATTAAAGTTGTGAGCAAGCAATTGGGCTGCTGCATAAATTAGTTTGCTCTGGAGCCATCATTCCTGAGCCAAGACAAAAATGTGTGAGCCGGAGAGTAAAAATTTGTGAGTAGCTCACACTAACTCAGCTTAGAGGGAACACTGCCTGTGAGGTAGGTGGGGCTGAGAGAGCTCTTTTGAGAACTGCTCATGAGAGAACTTGTGACTGACCCAAGGTCACACCAGAAGCTGCATGTGGAGGAGTGGGGGATCAAACCTGGTTCTCTAAGATTGGAGTCCAACTCCTAACCACTACACCAAACTGGTAGGGTGGAAGCTGCTGAAGGTTGGTGAAATTTCTCCAGTACTTATGTGCCATGTGCCCAGATAAAAATGGTATACTTAGAAAATTTATATGCCACCTTGAGCAAGTCTCTGGAAAAGCAGCACAGTCATAAAAGGAACAAAGATAAAATTAGCAATATTAAAACAAGCCATTAAAAACAATAAAGACTCTAGCAGGGCATAAAACAGCATAAGAATAGCCTAAAAAGTTATATAAAACAGCTCTGAGATAAACAACCCATAAAAAAACAGCTGTTAAAAATGGAGCCCTTTGATTAAAACCTTGGGGGAAAGGAATTTTTTTGGCCCTGGCACCTACAAAACAGGGCAGAAGGAGTCAGGCTAGCCTCAAGGGAGAGGGCATTTCGAAGGCAAAGTGCCACCACTGAAAAGTGGTCTCTGGTTATCACTCACTTCACTTCTTCTCATGAAGGCACAGATGGCAGGGCTTGGAAAGAAGATCTTAACGATTGGGCTCCCCTCAGCAGCACAGGAGGAGGAGGTCTACACAAGCCCACTGAAGTCAATGGCCAGGGGCAACCTAACTCTGCAGTTGTCATAGCTCTAGTCAAGAGCCACGCACAGAAGAGTGACTGATGCAGAATCACAGGAGGTAGGATCCTCCAACTATTGTTCTTGCACACTAGCAAAGTAAGAGTGAGATACGCCTTTGATTTTCATTCAGGAAAAGAAGTTTCTCTGGTGTGAGGTGTTTGGAAAGCACTAGCCTAACTCGAGCACGAGCTCCCCTCTCTCATCATCTGCAATTCTGCACATGCACACTCGAGAGTAAGTCCCTTGAAACCCTGTGGGGCCTGCTTCTGATTTTATATTTCTTAAAATCTGGGCGCTCGTTAAAGACTCCAGGTGGGATGAGGGCGATTTTCTGGCCTTCCATCCTCCTATGCTGCCTTCGTTTCTCTGAAGGACACAGCCAATTCCCTCTTGGCATCCTTTTGACGCCTCAGTTAAGGGATGGGGAGCGGACTGTGGTCCCTCTTGGAAGCGGTGTGCCGCCGCCACCCCCGCCTCGTCTCTGGTGCCGCCACAACCGCAAGAGCATCACCAGGAGAAACGCCAGAGGCTTTAGGACCGCGAAGACACCGGCGGGCCCTCTCCTGAAGCCGCTGGACGCGACCAATTCTCCTGGAGGGTGGCGCGAGGCTGTTCGGGCCGCTGACACTGTCGACGGTCGCCCTTGCCTCCCCACTTAGCCATGAAGCAGGCGCTGCTGGAAGTAATGAGGATGAACAAGATCTGCCGGATGGTTCTGGTCACTTGCTTGGGATCCTTCGCCCTGGTCATCTTCTATTTCCAAAGTATGTTGCATCCAGGTAGGGCGGCGGCATCCTGGTCGCCTTTGCTTTTCGGGGTCGGGGTCGGGGGGCGCGGACGAACTCGCGGAGGCAGCCGGGGCCCGGGGCTCGTGTGGGTGTGGGGGTGTGTGTGGGGGGGTGCGCCTGCGTGCGTGCCGGAGAGCCAGCGTGGAGCGCGGGGGTCGGGAGCGCGCCGGGTGCTGCTGCTGCTGGGGAGACCAGATGGGCGCTGGAGAGCGGCGGGGAACTTCCCAGGGGCTGGAGGGATGCGCCAGGCAGGTCCAGGCGGAGGGGTGCCGGGCTGGCAGACCGAGAGGTCCAGGCGGGCTGAGCCTGCGGGGCGCGCTGCTGCGGGCGTGGAGGCGCGGGCTCTCGGGTCCCGCTGGCCGGCGTCGCCCTGCGCTGCCCACGTGCGGCCGGGCGGGCGCTGGAGGAGATCCCAGCCGAGCCGCTGCAGCGGCATCAACCTTGACGGCTCCAGACGGCCGCCCGCGACTTTCCCCTGGCCGGCGCAACGCACGCCCACCTGCTCGCCACACGCCGCCTCGCCCCGCTACTCCGGAATAGCTGCCCTGCGCGCCCCCGCCCCCCGGCACACGAACCGCGCGCTGAAAAGCAGTAGTGACGACCCCCCCCCCAAATAAAACCAGCTCCCCCTCTCTGGAGCCTCTGCAGCCG